TCAGGCTGGTTTCGAACTCCTGAGCTCAAACAATCCGCCCATCTCAGCCTCCCAGAGAGCTAGGATTACAGGCGTGAGCCACCGCGCCCGGCCTCACAACACTCTTATGAAGACTGTACTATAAGGCTTCCATTTTATAGATGAGGAATTAAGGTTAGAGTGGTTAAGGTATGACGGCATTAAGGAAATGCTTTCAATAAGCTCCTTTCTCCACTAAGTCACCCAAAATAAATATGTGCTCTCAGTAAAAGCAGTGTGCTTGTTATACAAATGCAGTTTCATGACAAGTCCCTTAGTCCCCTTTCCCTACTAATTTCTCCCCTAAACTTCATCCTGTATTGAAATTCTGGAACCACCTATGATTCCAGGTTACCCAACTATTGGAGCCAAAACCTAAACCTTGGATTCCAGTTTAGGAAATTAATTCTGTTTGCAATGCAAATGATAGGTTTAAAGCTGTGGAAGAGTTGGAAGCAAGAAGACCAGTTAGCTGGTTCATAATCATTAACACTATTCCAGATATGGGTCTGAATTCAACTATGTAAGTTACTTTTATTATGTCTACTTTACTTTACAGAAAGGCAGATGAGGCTTAAAGAGATTGTTAGGTGCTGGAGATAACACAGTTGAGTTTTAGTGATTTCATCAAGTCTCTCAACTATTCCCGTTGGGAGTTTCATGAGAGTATACACCAACTGTGGCAGGCTGGACAATATCCCCAAAGATACCCAGGTCAAAATCACTGGAGTATTTGAATGTTATATGGCAAAAGGGACTTTGCAGATAGTAGGTTTAGGATCTTGAGATGGGGAGATTAGCCTTGATCATCCAGGTGGGCCCTAAATGTAATCATTACATTAAATGTAAATTTTTTCTTATAATCACACCTGTCTTTATAAGAGAAAAGTAGAGGGATATTTGACACAGAAGAGGAGAAGGTGATGTGATGATGATGGAAGCAGAGATTGGGTGATGTGCTTTGAAGATATAGGGAGGGGGCCCCAAGCCAAGGAAAACTGGCAGTGACTAGAAGCTGAAAAAGGCAAGGAACGGATTTTCCCCTCAGAACCTCCAGAAGGCATCACCCCTGACAGCACCTTGACTTTAGTCCAGTGAAACTGATTTAGGACTTCTGGCCTCCAGAACTGTAAAAGAATAAATAGCTTTAAGCTACCAAGTTTGCAGTAATTTGTTACAACAGACATAGGAAACTAATGCAGATTTTCGTAGCTGGAACAAATACCTAAAAATGTGGAAGTGGTTTTGGACTTGGGTGAAGGGTAGATGGCTGGAAGAATTTTGAGGTGCATGATAGAAAAAGTTTAGATTTCTTTGAACATTCTGTTCGGGGAAACAGGGACATTGAAAAGGTGCTGCTGTAGAGGACTCAGAAGGAAAGGAAGAGCACAGTAGAGAAAGCCTATAATGGGTCAAAGAATAGGTAAGTTGTACAAATGTTGGTGGAAATATGAATGACAAAAGTGCCGCTGGGGAAGGCTCAGAAGGAAATGAGGAACATACTACTGGAGACTAAGGCAAGGCATTCTTGTTGCATAGTGACAGAGAGCTTAGCTGAGATGTGTCCTGCCATTACGTGGAAAGCAGAACTTGTAAGGATGAACTTGGATATTTAGCTGAAGAGATTTCCAAGCAAAGTGTTGCAGGCATGACCTGGTTTCTTTTGCTGCCTATAGTAAAATGCGAGAGGAGAGAGAGAAATCGAGGGAAGAATGTTAAGCAAAAGGGAAACAGGACTTAATGATTTGGGACATTCTCAGCCTATGCAGATTGTAAAAGGTGCTACAATGAAGAGATTCACTGTCAAAAAAGTGTGTTCTGGAGAGAAAGCCGAGGATGCGGCTGGAGAGCTTTTTGCCAGTGCTGAAGAGATTATGTGTGTGACTCGTCGATCCCCCCAGCCATCCCAGCAGACATCAGGAAGAGACATGAGGTTACCTGCAGAAGACCTATGCAGAAGCCTCTTGTCCAATGGAGTCAATCTCTGTGACATGCAGGGAGACTCACAGGTTTCGAGAACGGTGCACCAGCAGGAATGCCGGCCTGGACAAAGGGACAGCGAGAGGACAAAATGAAAAAGGATGCTGGACTGCCAAAATTCTGCAGGCAGGAAACAGACTGACAAAACTATTCAGCTGCAAACACGTGATATCTTTCGTGAGAAAGGAAGGATTAATTAGGGGGTGGAACCTCAGATCCAGAGGGCAGAGCCTCAGGCCACAGAGGATTATTCTCAGGCCTTTAAACCTAGTGGAATTTGCTCTGCTGGATTTCAAAATTTCTTGGAACTAGCGACTCCTTCCTTTCCTCCCTCCCTTCTCCCTCCCTCCCTTCCTCATTCCTTCCTTTTCTTCTTCTTCCTGTTTGAATGACAGTGTCTGTAACTGTTATTCTATGCCCGTCCCGTCATTGTATTTTGGGAGGAGATAACTTGTTTTCTAGTTTCACAGGTCTACAGATGGAGAGGAATTTTGTCCCAGGATGGATCATACCCAGAGTCTCACCCATACCTTGTTTAGATGATTTAGATTATGAGATCTGAGACTTTTGAGTTATGATATTTATATGAGAATTTAGACATAAGTTGATACTGTAATGGGTCCAGACTTTTGGGGATTTGGGGATGGGGTGAATATAATTTGCTTGTGGGATAGATGTGAAATTTTTGGGGGGGATGCAGAGGGCTGACTTTAGTAGGCTGCATAATGGCTATTAAAGATATCTAGGTCCTAATCCTTGGAACCTGCGAACGTTACCTCATATGACAAAAGGGACTTTGCAGGTTCTTAAATTAAGGATCTTGGGAAGATTATCCTGCATTATCCAAGTGTTACCTAAATGTGTTCACAAATGTCCTTATAAATGGGAGGCAGAGGAAGATTTGACACAGAAGAGGAGAAGGTGATTTGATGATGGAAGCAGAGATTGAAGTGGCGTATTTGAAGGTGGAGGAAGGGACCATATGCCAAAGAATACTAGAAATTGAAGCCCCTACAAATTGAAAAAGGCAAGGAACAGATTCTCCCTTTACAGCCTCCAGAAGGAATCAGCCCTGCCAAGACCTTGACTTTAGCTCAATAAAACCAATTTTAGACATGTGGCCTCTAGAACTGTGAGAGGATAAATTTGTGATAATTTGTTGTAAGCCATGAAATTTGTGGTAATATGGCACAGCAGTCAATACATCGACCTTTAAATTAATTTGGGACTAACCTATAATTTACAATGTTCGATTGTCCCATCTAGGAATATGGTAAGCCCTTCTACTTATTTGACTCTTTTATTATATTTCTCTCAGAAAAGTGTTACAGTTTTATTTAAACAGGTTTTGAAAATTTCATGATAATATTATTATGTATCCCATAATGAATGGAATTATTTTAAACACTTTTTTTTTTAAAGAGGGAAAAGCTATTTTTGAATTTTTTTGAAAGATCGAGAAGAGTAAAGCAAGTGATAGTTTGTCCGTTGAAAATGTTTTTTGTTGTTCCTTTCTCCAGAGTAGACATTTTAATAAAATACAGTCTCTTTGGGATCAGGTGTCATGTTTTATATTTCATTTGTTCTTCAAAAAGTTTTAGCACAATTTTAGGAATACCGAATGCCCCAAAGTGATGTGCTAGTTCTGAAATTCGATGAAAGCAACCACAACAAATCTCCTACACACAGTCTTTATAAAGCTCTGAATATATAATAGTACATTACAAACAGTTGAGTATATTTTTTGGTTTTTGTCTTATCACTGTGTGATATACTGTCCATTCTTTCAGATGCAAGGCTGGCTCTGAAAAAATATATCACAAAGGTCTCTTTAGCCGTTACTGACACAGACAAGGGACCAGGGAAGCTCCTTAAGGAAGACAAGGTAGTGTATTTGTGATTATTGCTTATTTTGAAGTCTTCTGAGAATTTTATCTTACATTTTAGTTTCTACACTGTTGCTCTAGAGGTAGGTGGTGGTCCTTACTTCTCTTCTTCTTCCCTCCCTCCCTTCTTTCCTTTCTTTATAAACTACTGATAAAGGACACACTGATCAAAATTAAATGAAATAATATTTAAGAGTATCACAGAGATGTACAAAGTATCATATCCAAAAACACGGATGAATCTTAAAGTATTGAGTGAAAAAAATCATCAAAGACTACGTAGATTTTTATAAAGCTCAAAAACAAGCGAAATCAAACTGTATTGTTTAGGGATGCCTACACAGGGTGGAAAACTATTAAAAAAGCAAAGCAAAGGAATAAGCACAGATCATAGTTATCTCTTGGAGCCATGCAGGGGGATGGGGATAGGGGAGGGACACAGAAGTTGTGTTAGTAGTACTGGTAGTGTTCTGGTTCTTCTCTTGAGTACTGGGGTCCACTGATATCCATTTCATTATTTTGCTTCAAAACTTAGATGTACATTATATATTTTAGTACACATATATGTACATGTATATTACATATTTTTTTGAGGTAGCACATTTTCCAGAATGGAAAAAAAGATACACAGATGTAAAGCTAGCTAATTGTAAAGCCAGCTTGCCACATAGCCAAGCACTGTATCTAAGTACTGCCTGTGCACAAGTTTACTGTTTTGAATGTACATTAAAAAATACTCAAGGTATTAGAAATGTGTTTTGGTTTTAAATTACTTGATACATTTCTGTGTAGAATGCTCTGTGAATGTCCTGTAACTTATAATTTAAATGAAAAAGAATTGGATATTGCTAAAATTGTAGGACATCACCAAATGTGAGAACTTGGTAAGTTACACATTGCACTTGTATCTTGTAAAATACTCTACAAAATCTCTTGTGAAACAAACAAAATGAGGCAAAATTCTGTTAGAATAGCTGCTGGAGCTATTAGTTCTGTAAAACAAAATTTTCCTGCCACAAAGAAATAGTGCTCTGTCAAACTAGTTGCTAGAGAAGTCTTTTACTTTCAATTTTTAAAATTTTGGTTATTAGAACTAGAAAACATTGTATACACATAGTAACAACTAGGAAAAATTTGAAATGTCTAAAGCTAACTTAATAGTTTTCCCTTTTCCATCCCCAGTCTTATAACCCTTTGGTTCTGATAATAATTTTGTGTTAACTGTACCATGTTTTTTCCTTCACTTATATGGGCATACATATACATATATATATTTGGAATTTTATGAGCGATTTTGTTTTTATAAAGATGGGGTCATACTGTACATATTATTCTTTAATTTACTTTTCTCCCCTCTTAGTAATATGTTATGAACACCTTTCCAAACCCACTTCCTTCTACAATCTTCTGCATATACTGCTGCTTATTATTTAATAGTATGGACAGGACATACCACAAATTTATTTATTTCTTTTTGGTATTACACAGCATAGTGTTAATACAGTAAATATCTTAAAATCAGACATCAGCGGTTTGCTGCACATGTGCAATAAGATGGTTTTACAAGGCAAACTGAGAAATTTTCAAGAAGGTGGAGCTTTTCTTGCATTTCTTGAACTTCCTCCTCCTGTGAACCATTTGAGAGGGAATCAGCTGTTAGCATTATCTTTTGAGTCGCACGCACCTATTCTTTTCTGGCCTTTGCAAACACTTCTTTTTGTCACAGAATTCAGTGAAAATAAAGAATTAGGGAGAAAGTGTAGACTGGCACAAGACTTCATGACTCCTGATGGTGAGTTTTATTATACTCACATTCCACCAATGTTAGAGCGGCACTGTCCAATGTAGTAGCCAGTAGCCACATATGGCTATTTAAATTTGAATTATTTAAAATTAAATAAAATTTAAAATTCGGTTACTGACACTAGCTACTTTTCTAGTGCCCAATAGCTGTATATATCTAATGATTACTGTATTGGACAATGCAGATTTAGAACATTTTAATCATCATGGAGAATTCTGTTGGGCAATGCTGGTAAATTTTATTTTTCAATAAATAAGTGGAAAGTAAATTTTCTATTTCTGTCCCTAGAACACTGTTCTCAATGCGTGCCGTGCAAAAAATGAGTGGCTGGTATCCCATTCGGAAGCTTCCATTAATGAGCTTTTTGAGCAGAAACAACAATTGGAAGATATCGTGACTCCTATTCTCACAAAAATGACTATACCACGTAAGTTTTGGATAAAAGGTGGTTTGAAATCAGTAAAGGTGAAAATTAGGTTCAATGTTGTTTTTTCTATGATATTCTGATTTTGACAATCTTCACTAAGTAGTCCTTAACCTTGTTATAAGCACTACTCCGTGATATAGTTCCCTAGTCTCATTATTAGTTTCAATATTAGGATTAACTAATAATAATAACTGAATTCTTTCTGTAGGGAATGCCTAATACTGATCTTAATATTACCACCGTCAGTCATTAAATTTTATGTAATCACTGTGTCTTTGCCTTTGATTTTGACCAAGGATTGTTATTTAGGAAGGCATGTCCTCCTGGGAAATAGGGTGGCAGAATTTCAAAAAGCACTTTCAGTATTATAATTGTATATTTGGGGAAGAGACCCACTGTGAGAATACCATCCTGAGAATGGAGAATATGTCAGAATCTTTGTGGCAAGCATACTTAAGCTTTTTTGAAATAACACCTTTATTGAGAAGTAATTCTCATACCATAAAATTCACCATTTTAAAGGGCATAATTCAGTAGTTTTCAGTGTATTCACAAAGATGTGTAATTATCACCATTATCTAATTTTAGGACATTTTACCACTCCAAAAAGAAACTCTACCTATTAGCAATTACTTCCCATTCCTCCCTCCTCTAATCCCTGGTAACCACTAATCGATTTTCTGTCTCTATGGATTTGCCTGTTCTGAACATTTCATAAATAAAATCATATATGCGTTGCCTTTTGTGGTTGGCTTCTCTCATTTAGCATAATGTTTTCAAGGTCTGTCCATGTCATAACATGCACCAGCACTTCATTCCGTTTTATGGCTGAATAATATTCCATTGTATGGATACAAAGTTAATTAGTTCATCAGTTGATGGACATTTGGAATTCCACTCTTTTGGCTGTTATGAATAATGCTGCAGTTAACTGTTGTGTACAAATTTTTGTGTGCCATATTTTCATTTTTCTTTGGTTTATTGCTGGGTTATATGGTAACTCTGGCGAACCTTTTGAGGAACTGCCAAACTGTTTTCCATTTTCTTTTATTTATGTTTTTTTAATTTTGTTTCTAATTGGCAATAATAATTGTACATATTTATGGGATATTTTCCATTCCTACCAGCACTATTTGAGGATTCCAGTTTCTCTATATCTTTGTCAATGTTTGTCACTGTCTTTGAAAAAAATTTTAACCATCTTAGTGGGTGTGAAGTAGTATCTTAGTGTAGTTCCGAGTTTTGTTTTCCTAATTACTAATAATTTTAAGCATATTTTCAGTGTTTATTGGCCATTTGTATGTTTTCTCTGGAGAAATGTCTATATGAATTCTTTGCCTATTTTTAAATTGGGTTGCCTTTTTATTGTTTAGTTGTATGAGTTCTTTATGTATTCTGGATATAAGTCCCTTATCAGAAATATGTTTCTAATGTTTCCTCCCGTTCTGTGGATTGTCTTTTCATTTTCTTAATTATGTCTTTTGAAATGCAAAATAATTTAATTTTGATGAAGTCCAGTTTACCTAATTTTCCTTTGTTGCTTGTGCTTTCTGTGTCATATCTAAGAAGCAAACCATTGCCTAATCTGAGATCATCAAGATTTAATTCTATGTTTTCTTCTAAGAGTTTTGTAGTTTTAGCTCTAACATTTAGTTCTGTGATCTATTTTGAGTTATTTTTTGTGTATGGTGTGAGGTAGGGGTCCAAGTTCATTCTTTTGCATGTGGATATCCCGTACCTAAGATTTTTATGTTTATCAAAAGGGGTTGTGGATTTTAAAAGGTTAAGTAATCTAGTCTCGGTAGTGTGACAGAATATCCCTTGCCATCTATAACTAATATTTATTGAGCATATACATAACACTCTCCTGGGAAACAGAGGCTTTAGACTGTCCCTGTTTTTTTTTTTTTTGACTGTCCCTGTTTTTATGGAGCCTACCACCTAGTTTATGAGTAAGACATACATAGCTGAGAAGATAACCTAAGTGCCGTATATATTCCTAGAAGCCTAAGTATAAAGAGAAAGCAACATGAAGAAAGAAGAATTGGCATGAAAGGATGGGTAGCCAGGGTAGAATATGAAGAAAATTCCAGAATGAAAGTACAATATGATGATGAAAGGTTTAAATATGGGAGTAAGGAAGGGCCAATACTCATTTGACTGACTGTAGTTGAGTCTGTGTTAAGAAACAGTAGAAAATAAGGTTACAAAGGTAAGGAAGATGTGATCATTTTATAAAAACTACTGAATTGTAAGCTTAGGAATTTGGACTTTATTTTCTGGGCAGTGGGATGCCATTAACAGTCTTTAGGGTAGGAGAGAAAAGGGATTAAGTAGGGGAGAATAATCAGGCTTTCTTCGTAAAATGGATTGGAAGAAGAGACTAGAGAAAGCAAGAACAGTGGTCCAGGAGGTAGATGATTAAGACCTGAATTATTGGTTATCCAGTTTGATTCCTACTTGCTTCACCACTACCATTGGCCTAGCCCAACAACTCTCCCTCCCTTCGCACCTCTGAAGAAGGGTCTTCTACATCACATCCCTTCTAAGCACCTTCATATCATAGAATATTAATATTAGCTCTTGATGGAACCTCTGAAATGACCCGTCCTTTTACAATGAAGAAAGTGAAGACAAGAGAGTTTCAGCAGTTTATTCAAAGTTAATTTAGTCAGTGGCAGAAGTGGTAACAATAAGCTGACTATTTGGGAAATGTGACCTTATGGCTTTAAATATTAAAAATAAAGGAGAGGAGAATGTTTGAATTGATATACCAACAACATAGGGTTTAATTAATGGCTGGTTCAGGTGGGGATATACTGATTTATTCCATGACCATTGTTTTTAAAAACTGGCTTTGTTTAATATCACAAGCTAATTAAATGTAATTTTAAAATCTGCTTCCTTTCAGGTCAAGTGAAAAGTGCCAAATCTGTAGTCTAAGCCATGGTCAGAAGAGAAGTCAAGATTATACCTTCTACTGAACATAAATTTTGTAAAAGGCCACATTTTCTTCTAGTATCTGAAAAGACAAACCTATCATGCCAATTAAAGTCAAGAAAATATATGTGGGGTTTTATAACAATGTTTAAGTACAACAGTACATCACCCTTGTTTTGTTTGGCCTGTTCAGCATGCCTGTGTCCAGACTGTCTGGCCTTCCCCGCCTCCTCCAAGCACAGCCCCATGTGAGTTGCATGCATTCCTTCAGGAAAGCATTTGGGTACAAATCACTCCCAGATACTATATGGAGGTTTTATTTAATCTTTTTTTTTTAATTTCAGGATATTATGAGGGTACAAACATTATGGTTACACTTTATGTCTTTGCCTCACCCAAGTGAGGGTTAGAAGCATGCTCTTCCCCCCTACAATGCTTCCCATGTCCTTTGCTTGCAGGTTTACCCTCCCAGCCCCCTAATCCCTGGAGAATATTACTGCCACGTGAGCACCCTAGTGTTCATCAGTTAGTACCAATTTGATGGTGAGTACAAATGGACCCATTCTTCGGATCTTGTGGTACCTCACTTTGGATAATGGGCTTAAGTTTAATCCAGGAAAGTATAAGAGGTGCTGGATCTGTTTCTTATGATTGAGTAATATTCCATTATATACGTATACCAAATTTTAATAATCCACTCATGAATTGACAGGCACTTGGGTTGTTTCCACATCCTTGCAACAGTGAATTGTGCTGCCACAAACATCTGGGTGCAGATGTCTATATTATAGCATATCTTTCGCTCTTTTGGGTAGATGCCTAATAGTGCTATTGCTGGATCGAATGGTATTTCTACCTTTAGCTCTTTGAGGTATCTCCAAATTATTTTCCACAGAGGTTGCACTAATTTACAGTCCCACCAGCAGTGTAAGAGTGTTCCTGTCTCTCCACATCCTCGCCAGCAGTTGTTGTTTTGGGATTTTTTGATAGAGGCCAGTCTTACTGGGGTTAAGTGATATCTTATTGTGGTTTTGATTTGCATTTCTCTAATGATTAGAGATGGTAAGCATTTTTCCATATGTTATTCTGTCCTCTTTCGAAAAGTTTCTGTTCATTTCCTCTGCCCATTTGTTGATGGAGTTGTTTGATTTTTTCTTGTTGATTTTTTTAAGTTCTAGATAGATTCTTGTTATCAGCCCTTTATCAGATGTGTAGAGAACAAATATTTTCTTCCATTCTGTAAGCTGTCCATTCGCTCTAATGATAGCTTCCTTGGCCATGCAAAAGCTTTTTAATTTTATCAGATCCCATTTATTTATTTTTGTTGCTGTGGTGATTGCTTTGGGGGTCTTTCTCAAGAACTTCCTGCCCAGGCCAATGTCTGAAAGGGTCTTCCCCACGTCTTCTTTTAGAATTCTTAAGGTTTCATGCCTTAGGTTTAAGTCTGTTATCCATCTTGAATTGATTTTTGTGAGAGGTGAGAGGTGGGGATCCAGTTTCATTTTTCTACATGTAGCTATCCAGTTTTCCCAGCACCATTTATTGAAAAGAGATTCTTTCCCCAGTGTATTTTTTTGTCTGCTTTGTCAAAGATTAGACTACCGTATGCGGATGGTTTCATCTCTGGATTCTCCGTCCTGTTCCAGAGGTCTATATCTCTGTTCTTGTGCCAGTACCATGCTGTTTTAGTTACCACAGCCCTGTAGTACAGCTTGAAGTCTGGTTGACTGATACCTCCCAGTTTCTTGTTTTTACTTAAGATTGCTTTGGCTATACGAGGTCTTTTCTGGTTCCATACAAAGCGTATAATTATTTTTTCTAGATTTGTAAAGAATGATGATGGGACCCTGATAGGGATTGCACTAACTCTGGAGATCACTTTAGGTAGTATGGACATTTTAATGATATTGATTCTACCAATCCACAAGCAAGGCAGGTTTTTCCATCGGTTTACATTCTCTACAACTTCTTTTCTTAGTGTTTCGTAGTTCTCCCGTATATGTCTCTCACATCTTTCATTAAATATATTCCTAGATATTTAATTTTCTTTGAGGCTGTTGTAAAAGGTATTGTGTTCTTGATTTAAATCTCAGCTTGACTATTATTGGTGTATATCAATGCCTCAGATTTGTGTGTATTGATTTTGCATCCTGAGACCCTACTGAATTCATCCATCAACTCTAGGAGTCTCCTGGATGAATCCTTGGGATTTTCCAGATACAGCAATTAGGCAAGAGAGGGATATTAAGGGTGTCCAAATGGGGGCAGATGAGATCAAACTCTCGCTCTTTGCCGATGATGTGGTATTGTATATGGAGGTTTTAAAACTACCTAGAGAATCTAGTAATTTGCTGTGTAATTGAGACTTTCCATAAAAGAAGGCATATGTGGCTATTTCCAGAGGAAAACTTTGTTCTCCTTCTCTAAAATGAAAGTCTTATGTAATGACATTCTGGAGCAAGGAAATAATAAGAATTGTTTGGATCAGGGCTTCTGGTTATAACTATTACTTTTTATGTCCAAATTAAACTTCACCTGTAAGGTGGGATATAGTCTCTGAGCAAACCACCTATTTTAACCTCCTTCTATCTTTAAATTAATAAACATAGGTCTGTATAATTTTATACTCATTTAGAAGATTTTTCCTGTTCCATAGGTTTGAAAATATAGATATTGTGACTGGATTCCATGCCATTTTTCCTTCTGTTCTGTTTTATATATCCTAGGTTTTAAATGTCATAGTTGGTTTCATGTTGGTGGTTTGGAAAGTCTTTTTTTCTAGTTTATTAATCAAACCCCTGAGCCTTCAGTTACTTTGTGACTTTACAGAAAAGTTTTATAGAAAAGAAAATGTTTTTTAAAAAGCATTTATTCTTTGTTCTTATGGCTTTCTTTTCTTTTTCCTGCCTGGAAAACTAGTTTTTCCTTATGAGGGGAAGGGAGGGAAATTAGTGATTCTGTCATATCTTGTCAGTTGACATTTTCTCAACCAAGGTTTTGAGATAACCCTGTTTTAAATGTCTCTCAAATTTTTAAGTTTAGAGATCTTTTTAATGTATGAGAATTCAGTTTCAGTTTTCTTAAGCAAAGAAGAGTGCAATAATTCTAACCCCGTCTCTGTTATACCAAGTGGGTGTTTATGGAGGGTCTTTATATACAAAGAAGGAGATCTATGTTTGCTTCATTCTCTTAATACAGGGTATTGTATTAAGTGTCCTCAAAGCACTGTAATAATTTAGAAAAAGGCTAGGTGCCATTTTTGTTGTTTCTACTCTAACTCTGCCTCTGAGCCTTGATCTTGAATACATTACTTTCCAGGCATGTGTTCCTGAGTAGGGAGGGATTCCTGGATCTCACTTCAAAGATTCCTAAATAAGATTAAGACTTTTCTGGAGACTCCTACTATATCGTAAACCTCTCTTTTCCTCTCTAGTCCTCTCTCTATACTTATCCTCAAACTTTTTGTAGCTTTTGATACATTTGCTGATGTTATGTTTTTTAAACTCCTTGTATTGGTACCTTTATGCCAATCATGATTCCTATACTTTCTTAAACTGCTTTTCTTCACCAACTCCTTTTCTTCATCATGCCCCCAGCTGTGGGAACTTCTCGAAATGCAATTCTGACCCTTGGTGAAGCACCCCATGACCTTCCCTATCCCCAATATTATGAAGAATTAATCCTTCCCTCTTTAGGGCTCCCATAGTGCTAATATGCTCATACTGTATTCTATTTAATTGTCCACGTTTTCCTCTCCATGTGGATTGTGAGCTATTTGAGGGTAGGGACTTTGTCTTGTTCATCCTCGTACCTAAAGAGTCCATAGATATTAATAGTAATTTAGTAAATAATAGTTGAATGAATTCTCTTTTAGTACTATCTTATACGTAGAACTCATTACCTCTTCATTCATTTATAGAGCTTGTTCACCTTTATAAAAATGACTCCCAAACCTTATCTCCATATCTTACCACATTTCCACTCCTTCTCTCCCAGCAGACAAGCCAGATACACATCCAACATTATGACTCTATGTCTAGTTTCTCCTCTGACCTATTTTCTAAGCCTTCGTCTTGAATGTCATGTTACTTTTCAGGCATGTGAATCTAGTGATTACCAATGGATTCCTGGAGCTCACTTCAAAGATCCCTTTGATGTGAGGATCTGAACATTTTTTTAAATCTATAGATCTATAACTTTAATCTGTTTTGAGAGACAGAGTGCATTGTTACCTATTTTGGATTGAATTATATATATATTCATAGGAGAGTTAAAATGCCCTTATGCTTTGAGCTTGAGCTGTTATACAGGTAGCTGTGTGGCTTTTTCTAAAAATCCATAGAATAATTACCACGTCAAAGTGCATACTAGTAAATCAAGAAGGTCTCCACATTATTTGGGAATCAAAGGCTAAATTCAATATTATGATAACTTTTAGCCAGTGGTTCTACAGATTTTTGTATTTCATTGACCAGAAAAATATAGAAAAATAAAGGGAGGAGATTAATATGCCATCATTAAGAAAACAGCTACTATCTGCTATCACTATCATTTAATAGAAGATATTTTAACACCAGAAAAGAAGGGATGATAGGATCTGTGTAAGGCTCTAGCCTTTGAGTAAATTAACCTTTATTATAGATCTTTATGTTATATTTATTTTTCTCATTTTGCCATGTGTGATGGAACTTTTGTCATGAATCAGAATTGGCCTATGGTCCAGCCTTTGAGAACTTAAGCTGAAGTAGGTAGACTGCTATTTAGGTTGACGTAAAGGACTGACGGTCACCCCACTGTTCTGTCTTACATGTGGTAGATTGTATTTTCCAAGATGGCCATATCTCCCATCCTACATGCTCTTCTTACAATGTGGTCATGACATTCCTCACATAGAGAGGTGGGTCTCTACTCTCTCCTCTTGAATCTGGGCAGGCCTGTCACTACAGTGGAAGTGATTCCATGTGATTTCCAAGGCTGGATCCTGAAGGTGATGTGGCCACTGCCTAATTAGGAAAGGTGCTCTCTTTCGAGATGCTGCCTCTTGAAAACCAGCATGTGGAGCAAGCCACATGGAAGGGAACTGAGGCCCCAGTCCTCAGCCCTGCTGAGCGCCAGCCAGCAGTCATCCCCAACTTGCCAACCGTAGGAGTGAGCCATCCTGGAAGTGGATCCTCCATTCAAGTCACCCCAGCTGATGCTGTATGGAGTGGAGACAAGCCTTCCCTGCTGAGCCCTGCCAAAATTGCAGATTTGTGAGCCAAATAAATGATTGTTGTTGTTTTAAGCTACTCAGTTTTGTGTTTGTTTGTTAACTAGCAGTATATAACATACAAATTTTGGAACCCAGAAGTGAGAAATTGATATAACGAAACCTAAAATATTTGGCATTGTCTTTGTTACTGAATGGTAGTCAGAGGCCAGAGAGGCCTAGAGGAGAGTGTGAGTGAAAACCCACAGGCCCTCAAGTAGGGTATTAGCAGAAAACATAAGGGACTCTAAAAGACTATTGGTGGGAGTTTATAGGAAAGAGAGGAAAATGTTATTGGAAACTGGAGAAAGGGGCCTTTGCTATGAGATGGTGGTGAGTTTGGCCACACTGTTGTCTAAGTAATGAACTCAGTGAAACTGCTAAGGATATTTCCAGACAGAGCGTGCAAGTGCCACCTGGCTTCTTCTACTAAAATGTTAGAGGAAAGACATAAGGTGAAAAGGAATATTTCAGCTTTCAAATAAAATTTAAAATAAGAATAAAAAAGCTAGTACTTACTGGCTTTGAAAATAAAACTGCTTCTCATTCCTATCCTTTCTAGATAGCCAAAAGTTCTCAAACTAAGACATGGCTTCCGGGAAAATTTAAAATCCAGGGTGGGATTGGAAGGTCAATTGTTAAGACCTCAGAAATATCTAAGGTGGTACCTCATAAAATCTTTCAGACTTCGGGTGGGCTTTCTCCCTGGAGCTGGGAAGATGGCCTCTAGTTGCTTCAGAAGTCATTATCACAGCTAAACCCAAATGGAAAGAGAACAGCTGTCTCCCAATAATGGTATATGCTAACCTAACGAGCCACCTGCTTGGACTTGTCTGAGTCCCGTGCTCACGCCCGAACCAATCGTAATGTTGGGGGATGCCGCCTATGTTACGTGCCTATCTCAGCCAAGTAGTATCGTCTACTGTCAGACAGGTTAGTGGGAGAACACACCGGGAAGCCCCTCAGCCCTCAACTCCCCAAATCTCCCAGATCGTACTTCAGCTTGCTTTACAAAAAATGGTGAAATATAAATTTATTGTTGCTTCTTGTAAAAGCCCTATGGGAAATGGTTTAATGTAGAGAAATTTGATCACCTATGTATTTTAGTTATGCGCTATCTCTAGCTTTCAGAACCATATGTAAGCTAGAGCTGACTCTCTGAATTTTGTCCACATTTTCCTGAAGTATGAGGATTTTTCTAAAAGCCATGGAGAATCTGAATTTTGAAACTTAAATTCAAACCACAGGAGTCTTACCTGTAGGGCTCAGGTGAGCCAAGTGAGCCCAAGGGGACAGAGTAGGATAGGAGCTAGAGAGAACCTGGGAGGGTGTTACTCAAAATGATCTGAGGCAGTAGTGGAGGAGAGGGTCAAAGTTAATGTTAAGAGAAATAAAGTTGACCACCAATATAGATAAGGTGAATATGAAAATGGGAGAAAGGATAGTGAACTTGGTAATTAGGTGAGTTAGGTGAAGGCAGGATGGGAAAAAATATGAGCCCATCTCTCAGGAGAGAGCCTGTGAATAAGATAACTTTTGTTTTTTTACATGGTCCCTGGCATTTGTGGTAGGATTGGGCCTAGTGGCTTAAAAGAGCCATACCAGTCTGTACAAAAACAAAAAGTTGTGAAGAATATTTTAGGGGGTGGTGTGTGGGTGCCAGTGATGGTTATTACAGTTGGCGCAGACATAGAGCAATTGACGGAAACACAGTTTAGTCTCAAGTACGAATTGAGACTTTGATTTTGTCAGAGGTTCCTTGTACATAGTGAGGAGGAAGATTGATGACAGATTTAGTAATCTTACTGCCGTGATGTGCTCCTTGGTGCCCTAGGGAAGAGGATGTACAGCAACCTTGATGAGCATGTCACAGAATCTCTCTTCCTTGAAAGTCATCTACCAATTCATGCTTATTCCTTTGTTTAATATTTATACTGTATTTGTTTTTAGTGTTTAGATTTGAGGGAAGACATATAAATTAGGCATCACAGAGTTTGGGATGTATTTGTCCTTTCTTGAAGAACGTAGGTAACATTGTTTCTTCCAATTAAGGACCAAAACCCAATGACTAATAGGAGTCAGGGAGGAAAATGGGAGTGAGAAACATTGAAGAGGAAGGAGAGATAGAAAAAGAAAATGGAAAAGCATGACTGAGAAAGAGAGAGGAGACAGGACAGTGTTGAAGAGGGTTAGGGCTGAACCAGATAGGGTTGGCATAAGAAAAACAGCATGTATATATATCACAAAATATATAGAAGGAGATATCTGACCATTTCAGCTATTATGTCAAGCAGAGAAAATCAGTTGAAACAGTTGTGGGTGTATACACAGCTTGAACATTAGGAAATGCGAGCCTCCTTGGAACTAGATCACTTGGCTTCTTCTTGATTGGGGGTGAGGATAATGTATGTAGCCAATCAGAATGAAAGCAGGTTGCCAGAAACCAATGGGAAGTAGGCATGGAAATGACTTTCGGCAAGATATCAGTTGGTAGTACTGGCTCTGGTGAACGGCCACAGAACTGAGCATTGACCTTTGGGATTTTGAGAGTCTTCGTTTTGATTTCAACTCTGAACCAGCTTAGGCTTGGAGGAACATATCTCTGGTCTTGGCGGTTTGGAGAAGAGCTCTATTTGATGGTCATTAACACGTGGGGATAGCAGGGTTTGAAGATGCCAAGGACCTGAAGGACTGGAGGGACAGGTGAAGTGGTTTGAATTTGTAGTATTTTGAGTCTCTTTTCTGGCCCGCCCTCTGCTTTACATCAGAATCACTGTGTGACCTGTCGGCCAAATAAGTGCAAAACGAGGGATCAAAGATAAGCTTTAAATATATGTGGGGAGACTTCAGGCACCTCTAGGATTTTTAGGTTAAGGCTAGCTGCAAGGAAAAGTAGAACAAGTCCTTCTCAGGACCACTGCCTAGATTTGCACAGGCTGCATCCTACACAAGGCCCCAGGTGAGATGGGCTACTGGGGCCAAAGTCTAGCCTGTTATTCGCCTGCCAAGCCGCATGCCCTGTTTCAGGCTTCATTGCTCTGAGGAAGGGAGCCTTTCTAAAATTTACTCAAAGGCACCATATGGTCAAACTAACCTTGGTCTTTTCCTTTGTGTTTAGGTTATTCGCCCTCATTCCTCGCACCCAACCTTAACTGAGGTGACTCAACTTTGACCTTGTTTCCCTTGTTTGGATTTGGAGGTGGCTGAGAGAGGAAAAAGGGGTATTGGGTTGGAGTAGTAAAGTGGAGTTCCTGAATGATTTGTACTGACAGAGAAGGAGGAGCATAACATTGACCATCGTTCCTTCCACCTCAAAGAGTTCAGCCCATCAAATACTTTTGGAGAGCCTATCTTGTGCCACAAAATGTGTGCACAGCCTAATATTCAGTTAATATTACATTAATTTAACAGTAATATTAATATGCAGTGAATATTCAGCCCCGGTCTTTGAGAAACTCACTATCCAATGGGGAAGGCAAGCACATTCCCACATCATTACAACGGTAAGTGCAGCAATCAATATACCCCCTCTCCCATACATGTAGCAGTACAAGAAACACCGGCAGTGCTTTTAGTGTTCCTATAAAATGTTCTTGGAACAAGAGGTAGAACAAGGGGCATTAATATGTCCTCTGTGACAAGAAGAGACATGCTCAGATCTCCGTGTGGTACAACCTTAGGTAGAAAGAGTATGGATGAATTGGGTAGGTCTCATGTTCTTTTTGCATGTTATTACAGGGTAGTCTGCAAAAGTGACAGTGACAATAATAACACATATGAATCCATCGAGTTAGGGCTGGAAAAGCAGTGGCAAAAATGAAATCTTTCTGGGCACAAAAAGATGATAAGAAACCTGATTTACTCTGCGGGAGGCCAGCTGACTACCTGGTTCAAAAGGAATATTTCACAGTGCTCGTATGTTTCATTGTTGTTTGGGGAGGTAGGTGGTTGTTTTTGAAATTTATCTCTCCTCTGCCCTTTGAACCTCTTCTCAGCGCAGAAAGTGATCATAACTACATGAAAAGAAGGGGCTCAATGAAGCTATACGATGTGAGTGAATGCTGTAGTCTAGCTTCATGTAATTGTAAGCAGCATCTGTGCTATTGTTCTTTATTCAGTGACATGTGCTGAGCACGGCAGTGTGGTAGGCGTGTAAGGAGAATGAGGCAGTCCTTAAGCTTGAGCAGCCCTCTCACGGGGGACATTGGTGAACAAATAATTACAAAAAATGCAATGTGATGGATATAACTTTAAAGGTATGGTCAGGATTCTCTGGTCACAGGAGGAGGGAGAGCCTTATACAGCCTGCCTGGCCAGGCCTAACCCAACTAAAATATCTGAGATGAGGGGAGGACAATTGGAGCAAATAGACAGAGCCCAGACATACAGTTCACCATTGACGTAACTGATGTCATTAATTTCATCCGTTTCATCATGGCTTTTGATGTGATTTCTCTTAAACAATGATTAAAAATTCAACAGGAATAGGGAATGATATGCAGATAGAAAAAGTGACATATTCAACAATACAGGTGCTTTATTCCACGATTCAACTTTAGAGAAAAGTTTCTAGACTCCCGTAAAAGAAAATTTATTTGGGAAAGACGTCAGCTGGTTTAAAAATCTTTTCTTGAACTAGGAAGACTGTCAAGGAACGAATAATGAAGCCTCATGAACGTCTTCAATTTTATCCACTGTATCAAGGAGTGAAATCGCTTTCTCTGGGGGTGTTTAAATACTCACTAATGACTTTGGTCCCTTTTGGTCTCACAAAGTGCTGATGACCAAAGACCTCACTAACTCTAGATCCTTTATAGAGACAAGTGCTCCAGTAGGAAAGGGCATTGCAGAAATAGTGTGAAAAACATTTATCTGGTCTTACCTGTAAGAAGTAGAGATGCTCCTCAATTTATGATGGGGTTATGTCCTGATAAACCCATCATAAGTTGGGAATATTGTAAGTTGAAATGCATTTAATGCACCTAACATCATAGCTTAGCATAGCCTACCTTAAAATCTCTTACAACACTGACGTTAGTCTACTCTTGGGCAAAATCTTCTAACACAAAGTCTATTTTATAGTAACGTATAATAATGTATTTTATTGGATACCGTATGAAAGTGAAAAACAGAACGGTTGTATGTATACTGGAAGTACACTTTCTACTGAATGTGTATCACTTTCCCATCATCGTAAACTTGAAAAATCACAAGTTGAAGCATCATTTAAGTCAGGACCATCCATATTCAATAAATATTTACTGATTGGGCTTAATCCATAACTGGAAGGCAGCAAATGCAGAATCTGGGATGTCAGTGACTCTCGTCCCAGGCATAAATTAATTGGATTATAGTCTCTATCTTGCCTCTGGAGGGAACGAAATGAATGGTTTTGGAAAGAGTAGAGCGTTTCAAAGCAAGAAAATGCAGGTAGGGAATAATAAGTGTCGTTTGTACTTGCCTCATAAAGACAGTTTCTTTATGGTTAGAGCGTAGCAAAATGCATTTCTGGCTTTAGGAAAATTACAGAGCATACGTTGCTGTAGTTCAGGATGAGCGATTATTAATATAAGAGGTACTATGTAGATATGAAGTTTGGCTTTTTATGATTTCTTGCCATCAGATCTATTATTGAGATACCCATACAGTGATCCTAATATGTCACTGGGGGTGCTGATCGGACACTGTTGAAACTTCAATGTTTTCCAGATTCACCTGTTAGAGACACCTCATTGTGTGTGTCTTGTTCTTAAGAGATAGATTTGTGGCCAGGCGCGGTGGCTCACGCCTGTAATCCTAGCACTCTGGAAGGCCGAAGTGGGTGGATCGTTTGAGCTCAGGAGTTTGAAACCAGCCTGAGCAAGAGCGAGACCCTGTCTCTACTAAAAATAGAAAGAAATTAATCAGACAACTAAAA